TGTATGTATGTATGTATGTATGTATGTGTGTGTGTGTGTGCGTGTGTGCGTGCGTGCGTGCGCGTGCGTGCGCGTGCGTGCGCGTGCGTGCGTGTGTATGTGTGTGTATGTGTGTGTGTGTATGTATGTGAGTATGTATGTGAGTATGTGTGTGAGTATGTATGTGAGTGTGTATGTATGTGTGTATGTATGTGTGTATGTATGTGAGTATGTAATGTATGTATGTAATGTATGTATGTAATGTATGTATGTAGTGTGTGTGTGTGTGTGTGTGTGTGTGTGTGTGTGTGTGTGTGTGTGTGTGTGTGTGTGATAAGCAACTTTGTAATATGCTACATACATGTCGTACAAACAAATCAAAACAACATAAGCACAAAAACTCAGCCCGGAGTATACTCAAGAGAGTAGATGCTTGCAAAGTTCTTTGCTTTTGGCGGCTACAGCATCAATGATGTCTTCATTGTCCAGTTTGGTCAAGATCTCCTTTTCCAATGACATCAGCATAAATGTCTCAAGATGTTCTGATGTCATTGTGCTTCGGAGACGGGTTTTGGTTCTCTTCAGGGCAGTAGCTTCGTCTGTACAGAATTCATCATCCATTCGTCTGTGTCGTCTTTGCCGTTTCAAGGGAAGCGACTCTTCCACGAATGAAACTGACCCACTCTCCTCCAGTGCATCATTTACCCACTGAACAAACTTTGCAACTGCATTTTGAGAAGCTTCGGAGTCCGCCCTGAGGGCCTGCATGTTTGACCGCAACTCCGCCACCATCTTGTATACAGTCAAAAGGTCCAATTGTACGGTTTGCAGATACTTAGAAAGAGCTGTAGAGCGTTAAAATATTTGCAGATACACTTGCTCTGTGAGAACTGTTTCAAACTTGAGTAGAGCATCAATGTATCCTCTTACTTTAGCTTTAGCGACTGCTTGGGTGTTGTCAGCAACAAGTATAGCATTGAGGCTGGTGATTACTTCGACAAACAGAGCTTCGGGTGGATTGTTGAAAGAACCAAACACCTTCCTTAAGGCAGCATATTTTGACCACCATCTGGTCTCACCAATGGTTCCCAAGCTCTTTATATAGTTGTTAAGTGCCTGCTCCAGATGTTCATCCGTTGATAATATTCCCGAAAGAACACTGCAATAGTGCAATGTCGTTCATCAATGTCAATAGTGCAATGTCGTTCATCAATGTAAATAGCGATGCACTGTTCACTACAGCACTTGTGGCCTCCGACCTAATATGGATCTGTATTGGAGCTTTGTTTGAAAGTAGAGTACTGAAACCTCTATAGTGTCACAGCATGTTTGCTGCATCGTCAGTTGCGCTCCCAATGCATTGTTTTGAGGTCAAGATTCGACCCTTGCATAATTTCCGAAACTATCTACACAAAAGCTTCGCAGGTAGTTTCTTCGCACTTCACTATGCTCACCAGTCTTTCTTGGATGTTATAATAATAATAATAATAATAATAATAATAATAATAATAATAATAATAATAATAATAATAATAATAATAATAGATAGCATTTGTACAGCGCATATCCCCGCTCAGCAGCAGGCTCTATGCGCTTTACACTATATTATTACCCCAGCAGACCATAGAACACTCCGAAACATTCTCAGCTTCCCGGGAAGCATACAGTGCGAGCAGCCGGTTAAGCGCTCAAACACTAACAAACTGACAAGATGTTTCGCTGTCTATAGCCGGGTACCCATTCCCACCTGGGTGAAGTGAGGAAAATTCGTGTAAAGTGCCTTTCCCAAGGACACAACATCGGGTCCTTGACGGGATTCGAACCCACGACCTTACGGTTGCGAGTCCGAGAGCTTAACCACTAGGCCACCGACGCCAGTATTATCCACATATCGAACGACAATGGATCAGTGGTCATGAGTTGCTATGCCCTGCGTTGTGTCAATTTCCATAGCAAACATGTCTGTTATTTCTTCTGAAATGAAGCAATGGATCTCATCCCGAATAACCGTGATGATAGAATTCACAGTAGTTTTGGACAAAAAAGGAACAAATGAGCATCTGCCTTTTGAACTGTTTGCCTTCTCATTTTTTGTTTTGCTGTTATGGACTACGCGAGAGATGAGATCAGCTGTGCATGAATCATATTTACGTAGCAACTTAACAATTTCCAGGAAAGTACCATGGTCAATTTCTGCATTATTCAAAGTGTAGGCTGTCTCTTCCGTACTTCCTCTGTAGCTTAGTCCCCTCTTGCCTATGAGTTTAACTACATCCACAACTCGATTCATCACTTGCCGTTTCTTTCTGACTTCATCACAGTAGTCCTTCGTCAACACATGAGAAATGCCTGATTGTTTTTTTATAAACCAGGTATGCTGTTGAGCATTGCAGGTGCAAAGACGAACGTTCAAGCTGTTCAATACGAGAATGTACATGCCACCAGTCTTTCATCCCCTCAAGAAATGCGGATGTGTCTGAAGTGGCAGAAAACACCAAAACAGACAGAACAGTGAAGTGCATGGAAGTCTTTGTTGTAAGACAGCCCCCATCTGTTAGAACCGTCTTCATGAAAGAAACATCTTTGCACCACTCGATTATCTGTCTTCTGACGTGGATGGTGATTCCAAAACAAGAACCTTTCTTCTTCTGTGCATGGTTTCTCATCTTCACTTCCTGTGGCTTCAAGTTCAGTATGTGCAGTCTGTTCTGTGCTAGCCAGGGCAAAGCTTCCCTTTCACTTGTTGGTTTAATTTCTCTCTTTTCACCTGATGATGGTCCAGCAACTAATTCACCGCTTTTGTCCTCCTCGTCAAGTTCCGTTGCTTAGCCTGCCGATAGATCAGCAGCAGCTGCCAATCCACTACATTCGTCCGCTTGGTCAAAATCCGTTGTTTCAACTGCTGTAAGTCCTGCTGCATGTGCCACCTTACTCGAACAGCCCGATTTCATTTTGTCTCCATACAGTTACGAGCCAGTTTTGCACCTTTGTTCACTGTTATCACTACATCTTTCTGAACGTAACACAATAGGCAATAGGTCAACGTCGGCCGCCGGGATCTCAGCAAAGTAGGCAATTAGAAAAAAATCGTACGTTTTAAAACGTTATTTTTTTTCGAGGTTACAAGTAGATTAAACATTGCAGAAAAAAGGAGTACTGGTGTCAGAAACACAGTAACCTGATGACAATTTTTTAAAACCAAGTGGCCCACTTTGTCCTTTAAGCACCGGCCAACCTTTTCCCTTCGGCACCGGCCCACTTTGTCCCTTCGACACCGGCCCAGGGGGCATTGCCCAAATGCCCATAGGCCAGTCCGCCCCTGTATATATATATATATATATATATATATATATATATCCACCTCTCCGTCACCCCCCCCTTATCCCCCCTCTCTCCCCCCTCCTCCCCTCCTCCTCCCCACCTCTCTCTCCCCTCCTCACCGCCCTTCCCTGGCCCTGTCTGCGCTCTTACAATCTTGTCCCCTCCTTTTGTGAGTGTGGGGATCAGTGGAGAGAGAGAGAGAGAGAGAGAGAGAGAGAGAGAGAGAGAGAGAGAGAGAGAAAGAGAGAGAGAGAGAGAAAGAGAGATAGATAGATGGATAGAGAGAGGGGGAGAGAGAGAGAGAGAGA